GTTCCTTGAAGATTTTATCGACCAACCGCTGATACGTTGCACCCCCGTTCTTCAAACCAAAAGGCATCACCACATAACAATAAGTGCCTCTGCTCGTAACAAAGCTCACCCTCTTCCTATCCTCCCGGGCCAAAGGGATTTGGTGATACCCCTGGGATGCATCCATAAGGCTGAGCAATTCACAACCTGCTGTGGAATCGACCAGCTGGTCGATCCTGGGCAGTGGATACAAATCTTTCAGACACGCCTTGTTTAAGTCACGAAAATCAATACACATCCTCCACTTCCCTCCAGACTTAGACATCATTACCATGTTCGACAACCATTCGGGAAATTGGATCTCCTTAACATGGCCCGCCTTCAACAACTTTTCGACCTCCTGCTCAATCACCTTGTCCATTTCCGCGCCATGATGTCTCCTCTTTTGTTTCACCGGCCTCACCGTTAGGTCAATATTCAAACGATGTTCGATCACCTCCGCCTTTATCCCTGTCAACTCCTCCGCCGTATACGCAAAAACATCCGCGAACTCCCTGATCAATCCGATCAATTTCGACCTTATGGGCTCCTCGATCTCTTTTCCTATCTGAAATTTCCTCTCCTCACATCCTTCCACCATCTGGACCTCCTCAATCTCCTCTCCGGGCTGCATCTCTACTCTCTCCTTCCCTTTATCTGCCTTCTCCCTTTCCTCCTTCGACCTCGAACCTCCTGGTCAATTTGACATCCCCTCCTCGAGCTTCATCCGCTTTCTCGAGAGCTGTCTATTGTTGCTCACCGTGGTTTGATAACAACTCCTCGAGGTAAGCTGATCTCCTGCGAACTCACCAACGTTTTCGCCCACTGGATATTTGATCGTCATATGGTACGTCGACACAACCGCCTGGAATGCATTCAAACTGGTCCTTCCCATTATGATGTTGTATGATTACTCTGCTCCAACGACCACAAACCTCACCATTCTCACCTTCCTCGCTATCCCATGTCCCAAGGCGACAGATAGGCTTACCTCTCCCATCGGCATCACCTCGCCTCCATTAAATCCATACAAGGCTGTGGTCACCGGTTTCAGCTCGAGGTTGAGTTCCTTGTTTATCTGCACAAAACAATCATAAAACATTACATCCACCGAGCTCCCCGTATCAATGAACACCCTCTTTACATCAAAGCCTGCGACCTCCGCTGTTATCACCAACGCGTCATTGTGGGGCAACACCACTCCCTCTGCATCCTCTGCTCGAAAACTTATCTCCGGCATCCGAGCAGTGATCCCCACCTCCTCTCTCTTTTTTTTCATCGCTCGAACATGGCCCTTCCTTGCATTGTTCGAGTCTCCGTCAGTCGGGCCCCCCGAGATCATATAGATCGTACCCCTCTTCACTGGGCCATGATCCTCCTGCCCTTGATCTCGACTCCCTCGTCTCCTTTTGCCTCCTGGATCATCTCTCCCTCCTCGAGGATCGTCCTCCTCATCATCATCTCGATCACTCCGCTCCACCGAATCCTCCCGACACTTTCCTTTGCCCTTTCCCTTCGCCTTGTCTTCATATACGAACTCCTTAAGATATCCTGCCCTAATAAGGCGCTCGATCTCATCCTTGAGGTGCCTGCACTACTCCGTTGTATGCCCATAATCTTTATGAAAACAACAATACTTCCCCGACCTAGGCTGCGTTGGGCCCTCCCGCCTTGACTTCGGCCACGTCACGTCTTTATTCTCGATCTTCTTCTCAATAGCCACCAGCACCTCCCCCATCTTTGCATTAAGGGGCGTAAAGTTATGGAACCGCTACCCTCCAAACACTGGTCGATCTTTCCACCGGTCCTCTCGCCCTCGATTAACCCTGCCACGCCCTTCTCTCCTGGGCGATCTCCTACCTGGTGACGTCTTTCGAGGTGAGCTCGTCCTTCCTTTCTTCAACTCCTCCAACTTAGCGAACTCCGCCTCCGTCTCTTCCAGATTAATATATTTCTTACACATTTTCAGCACATCATCATACGTACGAGCAGGGGTTTTGGCTAAAGATGTTCGACAGGGCCCTGCTCGCAAACTCCGTATCAACCCCCCAGCCTTCACCTCGTCCGAGGCCGTGGGGATCTCCAAAGAAGTTTTATTGTATCGCGGAACATACTTGCGCAACGATTCTTTCTCCCCTTGCCTCATAGCCATCAACGTCAAATACGTTTTCTCCTACGCCACCGCACTCGCATACTGGGTCATCAGCTTTTCCGCGAAATCGTCAAAGTCCTTGATCGATCCATGAGGGAGCTGCTGAAACCAATCGAGCGCACCTCCCCTCAAGGTCGACAAGAATGCCCTGCAGCTAACAGAATTAGAATAACCATGAAACACAGCCAAATTCTCAAACGCCCTTACATGCCTCGACAGGTCAGTAGTCCCGTCAAACATCAAACTCATGTCCCTAAAGTTCGCAGGTAGCGGTGCGGCCAATATCTCCCTTGAGAACGGGTGTCCTCGAGCACGCCTTTCAGGTCGACCATCCATTTTGTCCTGCATCTGCCTCACCTGCTCTGTGAGCCTCTCCACTTCACGATCTCGCAGGGCTCCATCTCCTCCGTAGCTAGACACGTCCTCATCTACCATCGTTGGTCCAGCAGCCACTCGTGAAAGGCTTTGAGTGACTTGCTGAACCGCGTTTGCCACTGCGTTCGTCACCATTTGCTGCATCTCCTGCCTGGTCATCACCACCTGCTGGCCGGGACGCGGCTCCTCCGCCGGCAGCGGCACTGCTCCCTGCGCTGTCGGTCCTTGCTGCAGCGTCACGGCCAGATCTGGTTGCAGCGGCGTTGGGATCGCCGCTCCTTGAGCTATGCGAGTCTCCTGGGCCCGGTTTGAGCCCACGCCAGCCTCTGGTTGCACCGGCGTGAGTCCTCCGCCTTGGGGAGGGGGCGTTGGAGTCACCGGTGTGCGCGAGGGTCCAGAGAAGCCCGGAGGAGGGCCTTCTCCAAACGGCCTCGTCATCGTCCACGCATCGTCGAACGATGCTTGCAAATCTCTCCTAGGAATTCCGTCCGCCATAGCCACCAAGCTTAAGAATTCTCAGCACACCACTTTTCGAACGAAAGTCCTACAGACGGCGCCACATGGTAACGCAAAACACTCCGACCGGCTTGAAATCAACTTGCCTCCTTCTTCCTCGCCGGTAGAACGCCGCGTTCCTGCACAGAACTCTCACACCGGAGGGGTTTTCCGGTGAAGAGCCTCCGATGCTTAAGTCAGTATGTGTTTGTTCAATTCTCCAAAGTAAAGAATGGATAAATCGTAGGCTACAAGAAAAGACCCACTCCCATATATATAGGAGTGAGATACCTGCCCTAGGGATTGCCCGGCTTTTGGTGAGCTGTCCTGCCCGTCCGTACACACATAGTGTGCGTGTGTCAAAGATTGTCAGAGGTGGTTTTCGCCACTATCACACTGCACCAATATATTCTCGCCACGTGTCCGTCTGAGCTGAGGGAGATTATTCTTCTACGCAAGCCGTTGGGATCTTCTAATGCCATCCACGCGTCTTCTCGCGTTCAAGCTACGATCTAGACTGCTCTTCACGTTGAGTGCTCGATCTCCTCTCTTTTGGTCGATCCTCGACTAGTTCTGCTATTCTGCTCGATCTCCTCCCTTCTGGTCGATCCTCGACCAGTTCTACTATTCTGCTCGATCTCCTTCTTTTTGGTCGATCATCCTTCTACCGATCTTGTTTTCTCCACTTCGAGGTTGCTCGACCGATGATGCAAACCGGTCTATTTCTCAGCTATATAATATCCCATATCACACATCATGCTTATAGTGAATTAACACATCCAAAGTCACAATATCTGGAGCTGTAAAATCTTCCGGATAGAACTTTCTCGCGAGCTTGGAAATATCATCACTATTAAATGATTCAAAATAATTTTTAGGATCCAAAGCCACAGTGAGAGAAAGAAGTTCGAGAGAGGTAGCATTAAACCGTACATTCAACTCCATCAAAATGAAATCAATCATTTCATTAAAGATGTCAAAGTGGTAATGATGTTCAATTGTGGTAAGTCCGCGAGAACGACCAACCTTATAAAAGTCATCTAAGTTCGGAATATCAATACCATTCTTCGAGCAAAAAACTTTAACATCCTCAAGAAATGCCTCCCAACCAGATTCTCTCAAATCTTGAAGAATATTTTTTGTGGTAGACACAAATGTGATAGCCGTCACTATATCCTGAGTTTTTCTTTGAAGTACGTCACAAAGAGCGTCAGTGATTCTGAAAATTTTGTGCCTCAAATGCAAGGCAAACACAAATTCAATGGTTTACATATCAGTCAAGCTCTTCACGGAGTTATAATGAGAGCTCCAACGAGTGGTACCTGCACGTTGAAAGTTACCAATTTGGTTAGCACCACATCCCGAGTCTCGCTCTCCATTATCTAATAAATTCTCACTTTCTTGTCTTTGAGCTCCTCGCAACTCAGAAACACACTTTGGTGAAGAAGTAATGGTATTAACAATATTATCCAAGTGAGAGAAGAACTCCCAAGTAACACTAACATCCTTTGCAGCAGAAACCAATTCCAATTGTAAACGATGTGCAAAACAATGAATGTAATTAGCATATGGGCAATCTTTGAGAAATAAGGCTTGAAGACTATTCCACGAAACACGCATATTACTAGCACCATCATATCCCTGGCTTATCATTTTGTTAACATGGAGATCATGATGAGAAAGAACGCCACATATCTCATTTTTCAACTTTAATGAAGTGGTATCAGTAACACTTTTGATTGAAAAGAAACATTCAGTCAACATTCCACTATCGTTGACAAACCTCAAAATAATGATCATTTTGCTCTTTTTTTTATATATCTAGTGATTCATCAACAAGAATACAAAAATGCTTACCCCCCAATTCTTCACGAATCATTTGACGTACTCTGTTGTCCATAATATTTAGAATCTCCTTTTGAATTTCTGGAGCAATGTATTTAGCATTTTTTGGTGCATTCTACAAAACAACTTCGTTAACTTCAGCATTCATATTAGCGAAAGCCTTGATCAATTCAATAAAATTTCCACGGTTTGAAGAAGAAGATGACTCGTCATTGCCTCTGAAGAAGAAACCTTGAAGTGCTAACCACCGAACGCTCATAATTGAACTCTTCAAGCGTAGACGATTTCTCTCCTTTTCAATTTTCGACTGGGCATACAAAACTTTGTCTATATGTTTGGAGGGTATCATCAAATCCTCCGCTCTTCTAACACACATAGTATGAGATGATAAAGCTGTAGAACCAATGTGAGTAAGAAATGCACATTTATCTCCTTGACTTATTCCCTTCCAATTAGGAAATCCTTCTTTTACTAATGATGAAATATTATGCATATTAACTTCACTTAAGAACAGAATGTAGTAAAAACAATAGGCTTTATCCGTGGTGGGTGAATATTCTAGACAATGAAACTTATCAAACCACATTTTTTGAAAGCTGCAATTTATGGCACCAAATCTTGTGATAGGATATGTTTCCATTTTCGGTTGATAAGGCCCCGCTCTTAAAATTTTCGTCTAATTCCATCCCTGAGGGGAACGGTATATTCACCTATTTGCTTTCTTTTTCCCGGATCTCGCTCAGTAGTAGTTTTGTTCCAGTTTGGCTCTGGGAGAATTGGAGCGATGTGCGGCGAAGGAGATTCATTATGCTCATTTTGCACCGTAATTGATGTGCTTTCACTAGCTTGAAGATCCCATTTTCTAAAGAACGATGATATCAATGGAGTTTTTCCTTTTTTGGCCGAAGGTTGGTGCTCCATGTGAATTTCTGAAAATTTCACAATACCAATATAAGACAAATATGCCAATTTATTTAAGCCAAATATGTGTTGAAATATAAATTTTTTAACTAATCATTTCCGCTTTCTATACTCANCAGAAGCAACTATTATAAATCAAAAAAGCGAATATAGTTCGAATACAAGAAGAGCAAATAAACCTACAAATAAAACTGAGAGGCACGCAAGAAGCGTCCTAGAGCCTCACAAATAAAGCAAGCTAGCAAATCATCCCAAGAAAGAAAAATAACAAAAAAAAACCTAACAAGAACAAATAAACAAAGAAGTGAAGTCTCCCGCCACAGCTACAAAGCGTAGCAAGAAGAACTCCACTCATATAAGCAGAAAACCACCAAAGATCCCAAAAGGAGAAAAACTAAGACTGAGACTGTGCCTGGGAGAACACCATCCAATCTTCAAGGGCCAGCTTGACTAGAGTGTGTTCTGGAATCAAAGATTGTTGGAAGAGCCATAAGTTTCAGGATTTCCATAGCCACCATAGCATATATGTGGTGAGTTGGATTCTAGCTATGGCAACTTCAGAATTATCTAATGAGCACACTTGGTACCACCAAGCCTAAGGCCCAGAATAACCTGTCCTGTCTGAGAGGGTTAAGTGTAGAGATTTTAAGAATGGCAGAGCTATCAATCTCATCAAAGACCTGCTTGATTAGCCAGTCATTCCACTGTGCACCATTGCTCTGCATAAGATCTTTAACCCAAGTCAGATGTCCTCTGGCAAGTGGAATAAGAGTGGGAGCAGGTTTGCAAATACCAGGGACCCAATTCAAGTAAGATATTCTGGTGGTCACCCCATTTCTGATTTCAATCCTCAAACATTTAGCAAAAATAGGCAGCATCTCCATCCAACAGTTTCACATCCAAGACCCAAAAGGGGTCTTTGCAGCATGAATAAGGGAAGAAGAAGGGAAATACCTTTCTTTGAGAAGTCTACTTACCAGAAGATCAGGGTTGGAGATAATCCTCCAAAGTTGCTTGCATATCATTGCTTTATAAAAGAGCTGCAGATCCTGGAAAGCCAGACCACCATACTCCTTTGGAAGAGAGATAAAGTTCCACTTCTTCCAATGTATGCCTTGAGATTGGTTCATATCTAATTTTCACCAAAATTTAGCACTTAATCTTGCAATTTCAGAGCAGATGGAAACTGGAATAGTAAAGCAGCTCATAGAAAACACTGGTAATGCTTGGATCACTGCTTTGAGAAGGACTTCCTTTCCAGCCGGGCTTAGCAATTTAGATTTCCAGGATGACAGTTTGTTTCTCACAAAAGTTAAAATATACTAAAAGACCTCTTTTTTTGTCTTACCAATACCAAGTGGGAGACCTAGGTATCTGGTGGACCTGTGAGAGGTGATACCATTCAGGGATCTGCAAATAGAATGTTGGATGTGGAGTGGAGTATTCCTGCTGAAGAAGATTGCAGACTTTTGAAGGTTGACAGCTTGCCGTGTAAATAGTCTGTACTGCTCAAGAATGTTCATGAGGATACCAAATTGATCTACCCCTGCCTTGCAGAATAATAGGGAATCATCTGCAAAAAGCAAGTGAGAGAGCAAAGGGCCATTTCTAGAGATTTTCATTCCTTTGAGCAGCCCAGAAGAAACTGAGTTGAGAATAAGGGCAGAAAGCAATTCAGCAACTATTATGAACTGTGAAAAGCCATGTCATATTGGCTGCGACATCCAAGGAAAAAGAAAAGGCAGCCACATCAGAGTTGGTCAAGAAGACTTGCATGAACACATGGACGACTTCTCATGCAAGAAGACAAACTGTAGCGAGCTGTAAAAGCTGTGGAGAAGAGAGCATGTGGTTACACTCCCATTGGCCATCTGATAGGATTAAATCTGAGCCATTGATCAAAAAGCATTCTTTGTATATAAATGGCATGAAAAACGTAGCCTAGGGTTAAGCAATATATTTGTCCATTCCTTGTTCATGAAAAACCCTTGTATGCATTTATGAGATCTATGAAAATGAATCTGGTTGTTTCTCATTTCAATATCATGTCTATGAGTTTTCTTTTCATGGTATCAGAGCAGGCTTTGACCTGACTCTGAAACCTTTATTTTCTCTTCTTTTATTTTCGATACAATACAAAATATGGCCAGTCCCAGTTCAAGCCAAGTGCAGATCGTGTTTCCTCAGAGTAACTCATATCTGTGAAGCTAGATGAAAACAATATTTTGATATGGAAACAGCAAGCACTCTCAGCCATTAGGGGATATGGACTTGAAAGCTTCATGAAAAGAGATGCAGAATCTCCAGCTCAGACACACATAGTAGAAGGATCTTCTGAAACAAATCCAAAATATACTATGTGGGAGAGACAAGATCAGATCTTGGCCTCATAGATCTTGTCATCATTGACTGAAGGTATGTTGGTCTTAACCGTTGGCTTAACTAGTTCAAAGGAGATATGGTTGGCCCTAGAAAACAACTTTTCTGCACAATCTCAAGCAAAAGTCATGCAATACAAAATCTTGATGCAGTCCTTGAAAAAGAATGGCATGACTATGAGAGAATACCTGTCAAAAATGAAATCATTCTGTGACATATTAGCTTCAACTGGCCACAAGATAAGTGAAACAGATCAGGTCTTACACATCTTATCAGGTCTTGGGAATGAATATGACTCTGTGATGGTTAATGTGACCTCTAGGCTAGAACCATATAATCTTAATGAACTTCATGCCTTGCTGTTGAGTTATGAAACCCGGCTAGAAGCAAACAACAACATGCTGGGAACAAACATAAATACAGATGGGACACAACCCTCTGTGAATGCAGCTCAAATGGATACAAGGAGATTTCCAAATGCAGGCAGCCAAGCTAGAGGTGGTTACAGAAATTTCAGAGGTCAAAACTTCAACAGAGGTGGAAGTTTTGGTAGAGGAGGAAGAGGAAGAGGCAGATATGGTGGTAACAAGGTGATATGCCAGATTTGCAATGTAGCAAACCATACTGCAGATAAATGCTGGTACAGGAATGATTCAAGCTACCCTAACTCAACCTCAAGCCAGTCCTCTCAACAAAACTACATGCCAAGAAATCCAAATTTGAACCTTGCACACTTTGATCAAATGCAGCAGATTGGCAAATGGAATTTTGTTTCTGAAAATAGCAGTGAGGCCTCTTGGTGCCCAGACTCAGGAGCCACCACACATGTGACAAATGACTTGGGAAATCTCAACATAGGTTCTGAGTATAATGGAAGTAACAGGCTGCAGATGGGAAATGGAGCTGAAATCAATATCAGTCACATTGGTAATTAATTCCTTTTTTAAATCATCTTAGAACTCAAAAACTTTCCTCTTGAAAAACCTATTGCATGTGCCATCTATCACAAAGAATTTGCTGAGTGTGTCCTCTTTTGCATCTGACAACAATGTATTTTTTGAGTTTCATCCCACTTACTGTCTTGTGAAGGATCAAACAACCAAAGATATCCTTCTCAAAGGGAATATTAGAGATGGACTTTATCACTTCAATCTTCAGAGGACAAGAGTTTTTGGAGACCATCAAAATGCACCTCAGCCACTCAATCAACAACATCAAGCTCAAGTGAATCATACTGCCTTAAATAATGAGATAGCCGACCTGTGGCATCTTAGACTAGGACATTGTAGTCAAGATATAATAGAAAAGGCATTAAACTCTTGCAATTTACCTTATTCCAAGAATGGCAGTGATAAACTATGTTCATCTAGTATGCTTGCTAAGGGGCACAGACTATGTTTTGGTCATTCTGAGAGTATTTGTACTAAACCTCTTGAGTTGATTCATTCAGATTTATGGGGACCTGCTCCCATTAAGTCCTCAAATGGATATCATTATTATGTGAGCTTTATCGATCATTTCAGTAGACATGTATGGGTTTATTTGCTGAAATCAAATCTGAAGTCTATAATGTGTTTATTCATTTCAAAAGTCTGGTTGAGAATCAATTCAACTGCAAGATTAAAGCTCTACAATTAGATGGTGGAACAGAATATAAGGTTTTGAAGGAGTTGTTTAACTCACAAGGCATACATCACAGAATCTCTTGTCCATACACACCCCAACAAAATGGGGTGGCAGAGAGAAAGCACAGGCATTTAGTTGAAATGGGATTATCTCTTCTTGCACATTCAAACATGCCTTTGAGATTTGGGATGATGCAATAACCACAGCAGCCTTCTTGATCAACAGGTTACCAAGTAAGGTTCTTAACTACAAAACTCCTCTAGAATGTCTTGTTGACCAGAAACCCGATTACACCTTCTTGAAACCTTTTGGGTGCTTATGTTACATATATGTTAGGCCTTGGAACAAACATAAACTACAATACAGATCAGTACCTGGTGTCTTCATAGGGTACAGCTTGCAGTATAAGGGGTACAAAGTTCTCCTTCAATCTGGAAAGGTAGTGATCAGCAGGCATGTGGTGTTTAGTGAAGAAGAATTTCCTTATAAAAACAGAAAGGTTCAAAATTCTCAAAACTATAGCCATGAACCAAATGAAACTCACAGAGGTTATGAAGAACATGGATTCATACACCAACCAGCTACAAGGACAGTAAGTCATGAACCTTTGCAGAACCAAAGTTCAAACAATGAGGGTCAAGAATCTCACAGTCCAAGACATTCTTCACCACGCTCCTCACCTATTGGACATTTTCCTCAAAGATCCTCACCTCAAACAGTGACATCCTCTCACAGCACTGTACCTTTGGTGGTTGAACTGCCATTGAACAATGAACAACAAGCAGTTGAAAATCAAAATAGATCAGGAAACAATGATAATACCAACAGACATCATATGGTCACAAGGTCAAGGACAGGACATCTTAGACCAAGGGCTTGGACAGCACTCTATGACATCGAGCCAAAGAATGTAGAAGAAGCCCTCAAGTATGATGTTTGGAGAAATGCTATGAATGCAGAACATGAAGCTCTCATAAAAAATAAAACCTGGTCCCTTGTGCCTTTACCAGAGGATAAGAATATAATTGTATGCAAGTGGGTGTTCAAAATCAAGAAAAACTCAGATGGAATAGTTGCTAGACACAAAGCTAGGCTGGTAGCACAAGGGTATTCACAACAAGCTGGGTTTGATTTTCATGAGACATTCAGTCCAGTGGTGAAGCCTGCAAGCATTAGAATAATGTTAAGTGTGGCTGTGCAACAAGGATGGAACATAAGGCATTTGGACATCAACAATGCATTTCTCTATGGGGACCTACATGAGGACATATACATGAAGCAGCCTCTAGGTTTTGAACAAAAGCAAGATGAGACTGAACTGGTCTGCAAGCTCACTAAAGCCATTTATGGCTTGAAACAAGCATCAAGGGCTTGGTTTGAGAAGATAGGAAATATCCTCTCCACATTTGGTTTTACAAAGTCAAGAGCTGACACATCATTGTTCTACAGACTGAGGAAGACACATCAGACTTACTTGTTGATATATGTGGATGATATCCTCATAACTGGGAATGACAGACAGGAAATCCAAAATGTGGTGGATCAACTAAAGAAATTCTTCTGACTGAAGGATTTGGGGAATGTCAGACAATTCCTTGGCATCAATGTAATAGAGACCACTGAAGGGCTGTTCTTAAATCAAGAGCAATACATTAAAAGCTTGCTGAAAAAGGCTGGAACGGAAACTGCTAAGGAATATCCAACACCAATGATCACTTCAATCCAATTGTCAAAGGCTGAAGGCAATGAAAATGGATTGAGCAGCACACTTTACAGGAGCCTGGTTGGTGGACTACAATATGTTACCATCACAAGGCCAGAGATATCATTTTCAGTCAACAAAGTCAGTCAATTCATGGCAAATCGCTTGGACACTCATTGGAAAGCATTGAAAAGAATATTAAGATATCTTGCGGGATCCTGTGATTATGGATTGACTATCAAGAAGAATGATTCCTTAAAAATAATGGCCTTTTCAGATTCAGATTGGGCAGCCGATGTTGATGACAGAAAATAAGTAAGTGGCTTTTGCATTTATCTAGGAGGAAACTTGGTTTTATGGAGTTCAAAGAAGTAAGATTTTGTATCAAGATCCAGCACAGAAGCTGAATACATGAGTTTAGCC